GGACCTCGTCTGCAGCTACAGGAAGGAGCCCTCCAGGCCCTCCAGCCCTGACTTGGACAGGGTGGGCCTTTACCACGAAGTGAGCAACAAGACCAGAGCCATCACGCGCCTGGGCCCCTACAGCCTGGACAGGACCAGCCTCTACTTCAACGGTAAATGTATTCTTTTTTCTCAATTTTTATCACATCTCTGTTTTTATTTGTGCCATTCATCTTTTCATCTGCATTTTTAGAATTTTTTTTTTTATTATCTATTGTTTAGCTTTTCTTTCTTTTCCATATTCTGTTTTTTTAACATTATTTATTTTTTTTCTTTTGTAGCTTTTTCTATATAGTTCAGTATTAATAGTTTCTCAGGTTTCCTTCCTTTGCTTCTCGTCCAAATTTGTATTTCCTTATGCCTGTCCTTTTCCTCAGCCAGTACCTCATTGTTTATATTGTTGTCTTTAGCTTACATTGTTATTCTTTATGTTGACCAGGAGTTTTTTGAAATGAGAGTGTGATTTAATACATCTTTTTATGTCTTATTATGAGATGATACTTGAGCATTGAAACTCCTCTGCAGGTTATTCACAGTACCAGGGCTCCAGGGTGCAAGAGGTGTTTGTGCAATTCTCTTAAGCGTAGTGTTTCGATTTTGGCTGGTCTTGTGAAGAACCTGAGCCTCTTCCAACCCAGGATTTTATATGATTCTGTGATTCTATTATCTCTCAGAACAGATAGCAAAAAGCAGATGGCAAAAACTGTCAGCCTCACTAAGTTAAAACAATCAAAATCCCTGAAGTCATTAGGAATATGACATGTTTAGTACTGCTACTCTAATTCAGTTGGAGCTAGAAGACATTCTTCGAATATTCTCCTAATGATTGTTCATTTCTTTTCAGATTACAACGAACCACATGATCTGTCATGTAAGTATATTAAAATTTATCTGTCAAACTACTCAGAGGTATAATTTACTTTTTTTCTGATTTTGCTGTGCTCATGAGATTGCCAAACACCTCCAGTTTGTGGTCATGTTCATACATTTCTTATGTAAATGTTTTAACAAAAACAAAAACAGATAATATTGAATCTTATAATGTTTTTTTTGTGTGTGTGTGGTTTTTTTGTTGTTGTTGTTTATTTTTTTGTTTGGTTGGTTTTTTTGCTTATCTGCATTTTTTTTCTCTCTTACAGTGGAAAAGCCATTCAACACACAAAGCCTGGGACAAATAATACAGCAATTCACAGTGAACTTCACCATAACCAACCTCAGGTTCACTACAGACCTAGGGAGATCACATTCTGCTAAATTCAATTCTACCAAGAAAATAATGCAACATTATGTAAGCTAACATCACAGTGTTCTTAATCACCCAATGTTTTGCATTACCCATGCTCACAGAGACCTTTCCTTGTCAGATTGACCCTCTGCTTCGGAAAAGTAGCATTGGCCCTGACTTCATTGGCTGCCAAGTAATACTATTCAGGTAAGCAATGTAGCTGGAAGACAAATGGATTTACTTATATTTGATCGATACTTCAAACATTATTTTTCTTTTTCAAGAAGTCAGCATCTTTACAATAAAGCTTTTGTGCATTTTTGTATGTGCTTAATCTTACAAAGCCTTTGTGCTATAGCACCAACATCTCAGTATAACTTCTGCAGTTTATCTCTGACATCTGTGGACAGATTTTAATTGCTTTTCTTTTCTTGTTTTTCTTCTCTTATTAATAACATCAGAAGAAAACCCACAGACTTTTAGAACAACTAACAACTAAACTTGATTCTACTTGATTTCTCAGGTCAGTGACGAATAGAGATAGCACAGCAGTAGACAGCGTCTGCAGCTACAGAAATGGCTCCCAAGTGCCCAATTTTGACAAAACTACAGTTTATCAAGAACTAAGGAGCATGACAAACAACGTCACCAAATTAGGAATCTATAAACTGGATAAGGAGAGCCTCTATGTCAACGGTAAGTGCATAATTTTCAGTCCTCTAGGCACCAGGGCAGTCTGGAACCGCACTGGGCTTTAGGAAACTCTTCTGTTAAAAAAAAATAATAATAAAAGTAAATGTAAGGAAAGGGTGAACCTTCTAGAATTTTCTGCATGATTTGTGTAAGATGAAGTGTATGCTTCCAAGAACATTTTCACATTGACATTTTTGAAGATTTTAATTTCTACACTGAAGAGTGAATTAATTTTAGTCTCGACAAGAATAATTCACTTGCATATGAACATTTCACCTGATCTCTCTACCCCACTGATACTTAGTTAAAGCACTACATGTATTTTCTCACTGTAGTCCTTCATAATATAAAAGGCTCATTCTGCTCAAGCAAGAATTTAACAGATTCACACCCTCAGGGACTGGTTCTGGTGATTCATTCCTGAATCATCCATTTAATTATCCCCTCTTTTTTTAAGTGTATAGTTCACTCACAGAATATTTCTCTTGCATTTCCTTTTCAGGTTATAACGAACCACTCCAGAGATCATGTAAGTGCTTTGCCAAAAACAGGTTCCTTGGAGTAGTCTTGAAGTTTGAAAGGATTGTGGATGTCTTTGAAACCAAGTATAGCTTTTTGTACAGCAAAATCATAATCCTTCTCCCATTTGATTACAGATCTGAGCGTAACTACTGCTCCAAGCCCAACAACCAGCCATTTCACACTTAATTTCACCTTGACCAACCTCCAATATACTGCAGATCTGGATACACCAAATTCCCGCAGATTCATTTCCACAGAGAAAGTTATCAAACATTATGTAAGTCTGGCTCTGGCCTTGCCCATTTTGAGTTACAGTGATCTGGTATGCTTTCAAGTTCTCAAATTTACTTTATTACTATTATTTTAAATAGATTGACCCTCTGTTCAAAAGGAGCAGCATAAGCTCTGTCTACACTGGATGTAAAGTGATGAGATTTAGGTAAGATTCCTGAAAGTTCAATGACCTATTTGTCTGTTCTCACGCATACTTAAACACTTGCATAAGTTACTACATGTGCTGATGCCAGAAAACAGAAGCCAGTGGCAACTGCTTTCCCATTCCCAAATTTATTTATGGTTAAATTATCTTGGTATTCAAATGCTGCCACAGTTCTTCACATTCCACTGAAAGATATCATGAGCTCAGCTGTGCACTTATTCAGAGCCATAGGAATTACACAGGGTGTTCTGTGAGCATCAGCAGCATCCTAAACAATGTGTTTTCACTTAGGTCTGGGAGACACAGGGGTGACACAGGTGTGGATGCTGTCTGCAGCTACAAAAACAACGTCAGCATGGCCAGGTTTGACAGAGAAACAGTTTATCATGAGCTGAGCACCATGACAAATGGCATCACCAAACTAGGGCACTACAGCCTAGAGAAGAACAGTCTGCATGTTAATGGTAAGCATGCATAAGCAGTAAAAAGCAGTGATTATGGTGTCACTTGGAGAGCACTCCTCATTCTTCCACTCCATCAGGGCTCAAGTACTAATGAACTTTTCCCTTGGTTTGTTGGGATTCAGTATGTCTTAGCATTAAAGCAAAACAAAACAAAACAAAGCAAAAAAAAAAAAAAAAAGCCAATGTTGTTGCTAGTCTAAGAGCACTTACATCCCTTAAATCATACGAATTCCTGCACAACATCATTGTTACATCATATGAACTAAGCAGGGACATACTCACATTGCTTTTGTGGTGTGCATAGATCTGCTGTAAAAATAAAAGCGCTCTACCTTTTTTTAATTTAGGTTTCCACCTCACAGACACAGCTACCACCAGAAAGCCTGTTTTGAATAAAGGTCCAGCCACAACAGGATACAAACTGAGCTTTAGAATAGTCAATGAAAACTTAACTAACCCAGACTCTCAGTCTCCAGAATACAAAGCAGCACTGGAAAGCATCAGTAAAAAGGTAAGGAGCTGCAGTTCAAATACCACCATATCTGCACTGGTCAACTTTTGCAGCAACTACTGTGTATTTAATTAAACTACTGTTTGCTTAATTAAAAAAAAAAAAAAACAAACACCACATTTGGGAACAAAATTTTCTAGAATCTAAAAAATGAGATTGGCTTTTCAGACAGTTAAATTTTTCAGTTTACATGTGGTTTTAAGCCTCCATCCAAAGACGTGCACCATGAAATTTAAATGTACGCTCACTCAGCATTGTAGTCACATAGCCACTAACTCAGAAGTCAGCACATTCATAATAAATTGCTGAGAAATGAACACATTCTCTTCATCACCAATCCGTCAACATACCTGATAAAGCCTTAGGTAGCTTTTGCTTTTTAAATGAAGTCGTACCATTCTGTGCTTTGAGATCCCAGCCTGTTCTGTCCATGAAATATGGATCAAGATGATAGCCATCAGTCAATGAATTGCACAGTTTAACAATAGCAGCCTGTCTAGATAAGACAAAAAGGACTACCAAGCTGGAAAGTCAGACCCCATCAACAGAAGGCATATTCAGAAAAAAATAACATTGTTCCACAGCTACAGGCCCTCCTGCTGCCCTAAAGCATCTACTAAGGCTCCAGAACTCATTATTTAACATGACATTTTTCTTTCAGCTGAACCAATTATACCATCAGAGCAACCTGCAAGACCAGTTCCTGAACTGCAGTATCACAAGACTAAGGTCTGTAATATAACTTTGTTTAGAAAGGTTTACAAGATTGCAACCCCTAGTACTGTTCCCCAGCAGCCAAGTACTGTCCTTTGCAGAATTCCACCTGTCCATTAACAGTTTGGTTCATGCCTTATCAGCTTCCCAGAATTCATCAGTTTGAATTCTTCCTAACTGATGCAAACTCAGACTCAGTCCGGATTTTTGTAGGGTATCCCCAGATCAGTATTTACTGATAGCCGTCATCAATTTTACCCCCTAAGAATGAGGACTGAAGGGTGACTCTGCACCTTCTGCCTTCCTCCTCCCAACTTGAACTCTGCTACTTTTTAAAAGAGAGCACTGAGCATATCTTTAGTGTCCTGCTTTCATGGGAAGAGGCCTGGACAAGAGACTCTCACAGTGGCTAGCAGATTTTTAATTCAGAACCTCTGTTTCTGTCCATAGGGCTGGATCCATACTGGTTGACTGCAATTGCTTCTTCCAGCAAGAGCCCAGCATCAACAGGGCCATGGTTGAAAGGGCTTTTCAGAATGGGACTTCAAATACAACTGGACTGTGGTTGGGGAGCAGCTATCAGTTGCAAGAATTCTCAGTAGATGGTATGTACAGTTCAAATCTCAGCTGCCCTATTTCCATTCAGATCAACTCACTGCCACAGAATTCTCCATTTTTTTTCTGTAGCTTGGGGAACAGTCTATTTCTAAGCTGAACTATTGAACAGAGGTCAGAGTTGAGCTGTTTTTTTGACCCACTCAGTCTGGCTCAATCTAATCCTTTAGTCCTGAATTGCCCCTGTGACTATTCAATGCTAAGCAAGAAAAAAATGAAGTGATAACTACTTACCATAACTTCAAGCACTGAGTAATAAACAGATCTACCCTTTTCCAAATGTATAATTCCTGAAGAACTGACTAGCTTAGTACATTGCTGAGCAACTCACTTTCTATTAACCTGTTAGTACTTCATCACATTTTACCAACTAAGCCTTCCAAGCACGACTGATTGGCAGAAGAACCTCCATTTTTCTTTGTCAAGTTTATCCTAACTCTCACTTTCCAGGCTTGGAACTAGCAATTGAAGCAGCAACTGACAAAACACCTCTCAAGTCTGAGAAAGAAAGCTTCAGATTAAAATTCAGAATCACCAACCTTCCATACTCCCCAGAATTGCAGGATTCCAGGTCACAGATATACCAAGAGAGCAAAGAGAAAATTGAGAAAGAAGTAAGTTAACAGCAATAGCTTGGAATGATTTCCCTGTCCAAATTAAAGATGCATTAAATTTACTCATTTTCCTCAACTGTTCTGTTTCTTCCCATCAGCTCAATGTATTCAGAAGTAGTAGCATGAAGAGCTACTTCGCTGGCTGTACCGTGGAGAGCTTTGGGTATGACCTACTTTGGAAGTGTTTACTTTTCATCAGAAAGAGTATTTAAGCAGAAATGGCATTCAGAGCCACAGCCATGGTGTTTATGCCTCGTTGCCAATATTTGTGCTCTTGATGACACATAAAATACGCTCATTCTCTCATTTGGCTTATTCAAATAAGCTAAGAATTAATCATGTTCACAAATGGTCATGATAACCAACTGCCCTGAGATCTAAATCTACTTTATCTTCTCCACCATCTCTTTGGAGGAACAAACAAAGAAAAGAAGAATTGATTTCTCTTAGAAATGCCTGGGATTGAGTCACTGGGTGTATTTCACAAGGCCAGGGAGGTGGTGGTGTCACTGTCCCTGGAGGTGTTCAAGAAACGTGGAGATGTGGCACTGAGGGACATGGTCAGTGGGCATGGTGGGATGGGTTGGGGTTGGACTGGGTGATCTTAGAGGTCTTTTCCAACCTGAATGATTCGATGGTTCTAAGGCTATACAAGTGCCTTTCTCATCCAGCTGACACTACAAAAAACTGAGCTACGATCATGAAACATTACATTGCTATCTGCAAGCGTGAATCTGAGGCTGAATCCCTCCCCCTGACTCTACTCAGCTCTGCGCTTCTTTCTTCTTGTCCCATAACAATGATTCTGGCTTTCATCCTCCAGGCCAGTCCATGGGAAACCTTACACAAACATCACCTCTGTCTGCAAATTCACACGTGACCCCTTCTCAAGGACTTTACAAAAGCAAGAGGTGTACCAGGAGCTGCAACGCTTGACAGATGGGTTCACCAAGCTGGGCCCCACCTATGAGCTGGATGAGCAGAGTTTAGTGGTTGAAGGCAAGTGCTCCCAAGATGACTTTGCAGGAACTTTTGTTACTTTTGTTTTTGTCACCTCTGCAGTGCTCTGTTTCTCAACTGTCCCACCCTTTCTTTTCCAGATTACTCTTTGCTCACAACAACGGAACAAGAGTCCAAAAGATCTGGTGAGTGTTTTTGTTTTTAGAGTGATTCACCCTAGAGCCACCAGTCATTTGAGTTACAGTAAATTAGTATCACTTAGTTTGAATGGAACTGGGACCTGTAGAAAAGCCCAAAAATCCAGGAGTCTTGGGAGGTGAGCACAGCCATAGCTTCACTACCAACAGTAAACATGAAAAAGAAGTTCTCGGAAAAAGTTGCTTTTCCTTTTACCATCAACAGCTAACTACGGTTAGTTTTGCCTGCACTGAGCCCTGTTTTCACCCTGGAGGGGTCCAGGAGACAACTTTGTCTCTCTGAAACACCCCTGAAACCATCTGAGGGCTCCACTGCTTCCTGAGTTGCGTTTGAAGTTGTACCTCCTTAGACCCTCATTCCATCTGACTTGGGTTTTTGTACATCCTTGCCATTCTTAACACCACCAAGGCATGTTTGTGCTGTGGCCAAGGAGGGCTAGATGCAGCCTCCCAGTGATTTTACCTCACCTATTTGTACAGTACTTCTGAACTGCCTTGGGGCAAGATCTCTTTCTGTACAAGGTAAAACAGCTACAAGTCCAAAAAAAGCCCAAAAAACTGATGTGCTCCTATTTTGCCTCTGCAGATCTTCAGTTCTGGGCAATAATCCTCATCTGCATTTTTGCCCTGCTCGGGTTCATTCTCCTCCTGTTGTTATGTTTCCTGGTAAGTGGCCCTTTTGCTCTCATACCTCACTTCTGCCTGTAACAGAGCCCAGTGATCTGAGTTGCTGCAGGAGGGACTGTCAGACAGCCACAGGAAGCATGGTGGGAGCACAACCCCAACATGCACAGCCACAGCAAGCCCCATGCCAAATCCTACTCCAGTTACTGCCTGGTTTCTCAGATTTGTGCACATGAGCATGGGGAAGGATATTTATAGCTTACTAAACAGATCTCTAGGGAAGGAGGCAGTAGATCACAAATGATATCCAGAGTCTTTTGCAGAAAAAAAAACAAAAACAAAATTAATGTGCAAGCAGGTTGAATAGAGGATCTCCTACACAACCCCTCTTCAACCTCAACCCTGTTCAGAATATTCCAGTTACTGATAAAGGAATATAGAAGAAATTACTGATAGGTAATCAGATCCAGAATTTTGTTCTCAGTGCTCTTAAGACAGCCTGGATTGCATTCCAGCTGCATCCCTTTGGAAACTGCAGAGCAGATCCTTTCTGATCACTGATCCTTATTTAATAGGAAACAATAATAGTACAGTTTCATCAGCAGCTATGTTTGCTTTGCTCAGTATGCAGAGAACATGGATTCCTACCCTTGGAGGTTCAGGAGTAAAAATTAGTCAGCAGGACTGAGAAGAAAAAAAAGCTCAGATTTAAAACTAGGGACTGTGTGGGCTTCTGCCTGTGCAGCCTCAGCAAATGGCTCCTTTACCAAGTCCATCCATCTCTCAGACAGAGGACATCTCATGGCAGGGTGGTTTGGGTCTGTTTAGTGAAGTTTGCCTTTTGCAAACGTTTGTTGGGGTTTTTTTTTGTTTTTGTTTTTTTGCCATTAACATTATTCCTTTCCGCCCAGATTGTCTTTTGCCTAAGAAGAAAGTCAGATCTGTACCAGGTTCAGCAGGGCATGTACGGTGTGTTCTTCCCACATCTGGGCACAAAAGTCCATTGACAGAACAGATGAAGTATTGTCTTCACAGACCTGTTCATCCATTCATGAAGGAAAAATGTTTACGAGGGCTAGAAAAATGTTTCTTTAATAAATTATGTTTAGCATTTTCTCTTGTCTTGGGGTAAATTTTTGCACTCTTACCACAACTATTTTCATACTATGGGAAACTGCCAATAACACAATTTCATCCCAAAGCAGAAAATGCATCTGTCCCACCAATATCTCTGATTGAGCATCCTATAGTGTAGGGCCTGATGTCACTTTTATGAACATTGGGACTTTCCTTTCCACAGCAGTGCCCATGAGCTCAGCGCACCTCAACTTGCTGCAGAGCACAGAGGGACGTGGTGCTGATCTCTAGGTAATTATTCAATGCTATCATTAGACTCTGTGCTGAAAGTGAAAGCACTAGAGTTAATGAAACCACGATTAGTCATTAATCCTTCCACTGCAGGCAAGGTTTCCATGCAAACTGCCTTTTTACTTTCAAAGCAAACCTCCTCAGGGCAGGTTGGACCGGTTCACCTCCCAGGTCAGGTTCCTCAGTGCAGAGCAGAGCCTGAGGAATAGAAACCTTTTTGCTTGATCAAACAAAGGTTTTCAAGCACCCAAGATTATGTCAGCATCACCAGCTTAAAAGCTTTCTGCAGCAGCTTGTGAAAGACTTCGCAGGTTTCTGTGCCACCCACATGTGACAGCAGCTGCAATAGCGAAGCTGTGAGCAAAGGACCTTCCAGCTCCAGCTTTGAAGGCTTTATCCTACGTCTTCCCCACATCCCATGTCCCTGCTGTGCCTGAGCATCCCCCTCCCTCTCACCCAAGGAGGTGCAAGGAATGCAAACAGTGGGACAGTGCAGGGTGCAGAGATGTGACAGTCAGCATGCACTGCACTGCTATTTTGTGGAGCCATTTCCTAGAGGTGTTGAGTTTTCTTTTTTTAAATGCTGTGCCCACAGAGCAGAGCTGCTGCAGTGCTGTGAGCTGGTCCACCTCCTGCTCCTCTCCCAGGGCTGTGCTGAGACCAGGAGCGGTTGGCACTTGTCTTAGAGAACACATCAGCAGCCCCTGTGCTGGCACTGCTGCCCCATGCAGCCACTGGGACAAAACCTTGCACTGTCTCCATGGAGCTCCTTGCAGCACCCTGGGTCCAGTACAGACCTGAGAGCACTGGAACAAACTTCCCTGTACCACAGCAAGTTACGAACACCGACCTAATTCAGAAAAACTTTAGTTTAGATGCAGCATAGCAGCACTTAACACTGTCTGACCTATTTGAGGGCACTCCAGAGAGCCAAGAAACCATCCCAGCAATACCATGCTACTCCATTTCCTAAGGTGTTGCTGAGGACGTGCCCTCTGCAGAAGGAGCCACTGCTGGACATGTCAAGCATTCCTCTCTCCCTGGCTCAGCCACCAGTGCTCCCTGGCAGATCAGGGCATGCATCATACATCCAACCTTACTAACTTTTGCCACCACAGGCAGAGCACCCAAACCCAGTCCTGCCAGCTGGTCTCCTCCACCCAGCCCCTAAAAGCTATGCTGCAGTTAACAAAGCTGAAATACACTTAAGGAGCACCAAGGCAGCAGAGAGGGAACAGGGAAGCTAAGAGAGCAGCAGCAGCTTGAGCATGCCATGGGGATGCCTGATACCCTCTGTGGGCCTGCTTCCTAAAAGGAAGCGACCTGCACACACCATGGCACTGCTGAGCATCCCTGCATGGTGTCACAATGCACTCCCTGTTTTGCTTGGACCTGTGCCTACGTTTGTTGTGGAGCTGTGGTTCACAACCAGAGCCCACAGCAGCTCACAGTGACACAGGCAGCCCAGCCCTGGCCATGACCTGGCCCCAGGCACTGCACAGTTCCTGGAATGGGGCAATACCTTTCCCTGTGGTAGGGATTACAGGGCAGGGACTCGGCTGGGGACAGGGCCCTAGGCCAGCCTCAGCTCCTTTCCTCCCAGCAACATCTTTGCCCCCTGCTGTCCCACTCCTGCATTGTGCAAATGCCATTCCTCTGCATTTCTGTCCTCACATTCATCCTAACTCCATGGAAGACCCACATTCTCTCTTTTCCTATTATGGTTCCATCCAGCCCTCACCAACACTGCCCTGGTAACTGCTGCTCCGTAATAGACAGTTCATCAGCCTCCTTTTCAGCTCTTTAAACATTTGATGCTGAACAATGCAGACAAGGAACTGCAACGACAGAAGATTCATCTGCTTCTCCTTGCTTTTCTCAGCAACTCTTCTTCACTTGGGCTCTCATATACAAAAATACTCTGCTGGCTACAGAAACAGTCACCAGAAAGTCATTTGGTGTATCAACCAGGCTCCTCTCTAATCTCCCATCCCCAGCACAGCTCATGCAATGTTCCCATCCTTCTTGGTCCTCAGTGGAGACAAGAACTGTTTCCCCAAGCCACCCCAGGCACTGCCATATCCAGACCACCCACCCTGCAGACAGGCAGCACCTGACTCTAAGCTGCCTCATGGCATTGCAGCCCATCTTTCTTGCTCATCCCCCTTATTGCTTTGCTGCTAATTTATCCCTCATCATCCTTTCCCCCACCCTGCTCCATAAGACTCCATGAGCTTGGCGCAGACAGGAACATGAGAAACATCAGCACCACCAGCACTGAGTGGCATTTCTCCAACCTTTCTGCAAGGAGCAAGCTCACACTTCCCTCCAGGCCACTGCTGGATTTGGTTCCTCTTTGCTTTGCAAGGCCCACCTGTTCCTATCCAGCAAAACCCACCAGCTTTAGGGGGCAGCAAGAGAAAGAAAATGAGGAAATCGTTCTCACATTGCAGCTTTCTCACACTGCAGTTTGCCCAGTACAGCAGCACAAGGAGGAGCATTGATGCAATGCAACTTTTCATCAGCTCTCGTGCCCAAAGTGCAGCACTGCTGTGGGCCTTCTGTGAGTGCTGAGCCCAGCAGGAAGCACGGTGCTGTTTTCCTTGGGTACGTATAAGCACAAAGACACATGGAGCTGTTTTCCTTCTGTGTGTGTAACCACAAAGCTGCTGCTCTGGTCACACTGTACCACGAGGGATGCCCCCAGACACTGGTTTCTGGCCAAGCAGCATTACAAGAAACAACAGAGCAAGCTCTAGAGCACACCACAACCCCTCCCCAAAACACACATACCGGTGTGAGCTGGCGATGGGCATCATCCTCGTTTTGCCTCCCACACTCCTGCCAGAAAGTAGCCGATACCTTCAGATGCCACGCATGGTATTCTCCCCTGCTGCGACAGCTCAGCCTGGCTGATGTCACAGTACCCTCCAGCATGTCACAGTTTGGCAGATTCTGCCCAAGCCCACTCAGGGGAATTCACTGCCCAGCTCTGTTTCCTAGGCAATGTTCTGAGATGGAGAGGCCACAGGAAGGTGGGAAGGGGCTTTCCCAAGACAGGGACTCTCTACAGACAGAGAGCTATTCTGCAATTTTTATGCTCCATGAATGCCACCCAGATGATTTGGAGCTAGGCTCTGTTGGAAGCTTCTCCTGCAGTACTGTCAACTACTCCAGCAGTCAGGGCCTGAGCATGGGTCCAATTGTGATTGATATGGGCACAAGGAGCTGCAGAGCAGGGTTTTCAGGATACCATTCCCCCAGCGCTGAGGTCAGCACCCTGGTGGGCCACCGCATGGGCTCAGAAGAAACCAGGGCTGGGGTGATTATTGGAGAGGAGGCATTGCTGTACCCTGACATAAAAACCACAGAGGTGATGCACAATGGCTTCATCATTAACTGGGAGGCAGCTGAAAGCCTATGGAAGTACCTCCTTGAACATGAGCTCCGGGTGAACCCTGAGGACCACGCGCTGCTCCTCACAGAGCCACTGTTCAGCCCCACCAGCAGCCGGGAGAACATGGCAGAGGTGGCCTTTGAGGTGCTGGGCACTCCAGGTCTCTTTGTGGCCCCTCAGTTGGTCCTCTCTGCTTATGCACATGGCAAGATCAGTGCTCTGGTGCTGGATATGGGCCATGAGGCCACCCGTGTCGTGCCGGTGCTGGAGGGCAGGAGCATGGCATGCAGCTCCAAGCAGACAGATGTGGCAGGAAGGTGCCTTACGTGGTATCTTTCAACTCTTCTGGAGGACATGGGGCATGTGCTCAGAGAGGGGATGACCCACATGGTGGAGGGCATCAAGCGTGCGTGCTGCTACATTGCTGACGACTTCCAAAGCGAGTGTCTCCTCCCACCCAGCTCCCACACCATGGATATTTCCCTGCCCAACGGGATGACACTTACCCTCAGCAAGGAGCGCTTCCAGTGCCCAGAGGCGCTCTTCAACCCTCCGCCCAGCTGGGGAGATTCCTTCGTGAGCATCCAGGTTGGATATTAGGAAAAACTTCTTCTCAAAAAAGAGCACTCAGGCATTGGTGCTGTCAGCCCAGAAGGGTGGTGGGGTCACCTTCCCTTGAGGTGTTTAAGAAAAGGGTAGATGTAGCAGTTAGGGACATGACTTAGTGGGCAATAATAGTGGTAGGTGGGTGGTTGGATTTTAGAGGTCTTTTCCAACCTTTATGATTTTGTGATCCAGGAGACAGTGCAGAACAGCGTTGCACAGCTCCCGGAGGAAATCACACCCACCATGTGTGCCAATATTGTCCTGTGTGGGGGCTCCTCACTCTTCAAGGGGCTGCAGAAGAGGTTGTGCAGTGAGCTCCTGGGCCACCTGCCATCCAGCACTACTATGAAGGTGGGGGGCTCAGAGCTGCGGCGACACGCATCATGGACAGGGGGATCCATCCTCGCCTCACTCTGCAACTTCCAGTCATGTTGGATCCGCCGCAATGAGTACTATGAGATAGGGCCACGCATCGTCCACCAGAAGTGCTTCTGAAATGACATCCCAAAGCCAGCAAGAAACAGCATTGGTGCAGTTTTATCACAGCTACAGACCAAGCAGTAATAAATAATTTTGTACCACCTGAGTACGGTCACCTTCCAGCCCCACAGTGCCCCAGCTGAGGGCTGTTAGGGTTAAAGCACAGACTCAGCTGCAGGTGCTGCTCAGCACACACACAGCACAAGCAGCAGCCCCATGGGAGGGCATCAGACCCTGCCCTGAACGCCTTATCCCTGCATCCCTGCTCACTGCCTGCCATCCCCATGTCCTATCCCCCATTGGGATCCCACAGCAGCTCAGCTCCTCTGCTATCAGAGCTCCATGCTGTGATTTGCACAAGAGCTCTGCAGCCATAACCTTGGCACCAAGCAGAAGCCACCTGTTTCCCTCACACACAGTTGCAGCCTTTGCCATCACTTGGGGCCATGAAAAGCCATTAGCACTTATATAATACAAAATTAAACAAACCAACCAACCCACCCAAATGCACTCATGCTCAGAGTTGCCCAATAGGGCAGAAACCAAAGCCAAAACCCACAGTGCCTCCCTCTTAAACCACCCCAGTGATTTTTCCTACCTGGACCACATGGCCTGCAAATGGACTGTTGGGGGCAGACAGGAATGGGAAGACACAGAGGAGAAATGCTAGCTCCCACCCTTACCCTCTCTTTGGATGAAATTTGTCCCCCTGCCTGGTTTTTTAGGGCTGAGGGCTTCAAGTCGCAGCTGCAGCTCCCACTCCATCAGCACAAACTGGGAGCCAGGAGCAGCCCCCCTCTCCCTGCCCCCCCACCCTGCCTCAGGGACTGCTCCTATCCTCCTATGTGACTTTGTCTCAGCCTTTCTCCCCAGCTGTGGAGACACCAATGCTGCAGTGAGGATCAGAAGCCACGGAAAAGATTACAAATACTAACAAGCTCAGCACCAATCCTTCCCTAGGCAGCTCCTGAGAGAAATCATGCTATATTTACCTAAATTGTATGAAACTCCCCAGATCTTTGGAAGCTGACACAGGATTTGGTGCCAGCTTTTAAGCTGGTGGTAGTTTCCTATTGCCTCAGGCCATGGGACAAACCCAATCTGATCTCATTGTTACCCCGTGGCTCTTTGGGGCTGCTTGGAGTCTGCATTGAGCTGTGGGAGGGGTGTGGGATGCTGCAGGAGGGATGCTGCAAAGATGCAGGAGGGATGCTGCAGGGGCACAGTAAGGATGGCTCAGGGATGCTGCAGGCACACACTGGGGACACAGGATCTTGCAGGGCACTTTCCCACGGCTTTCTGACAAGCAAAGAATATTTGGCTCTCGTGTTGACTCAAACTAACTACTTCATTTCCCCTGAAACTTTCCGGAGAAAACAAGTTCTTATCTCACTAGAAACCCAGGCCACAGATGCCAGGTGCCTGGGAGGAGTGAGCAGCTCCTCTGAGCTGATAGCAGCACTCCTGCCCCAGCAGGGATGGGCTCCAGGATGGGGCTGAACCCGCAGGCAGTGTGTGTGCATTGTTAGCCCTGTGCAGCTGCAAACTACACTCCCATGTGTGCGCTGCAGATTTGTCCCCTGTGAGCTGAAAGGAGAAACACAGAGCACCCGAGCATCAGCTAAATGCCAAATTCTTGACTTTCTGCCTGCAACATTTTTCTGCTAAAGGATTAAAAGAGGGACAGGACTCTAATTCTGACTCTGACATTGAGCACAGCCCTCAGAGTGAATCATAGAATCATAGAATAGCCTGGTTTGAAAGCGTCCATAATTATCATCTACTTTCAACCCCCCTGCCACAGGCAGGGTCACCAAGCACCAAACTAGGCTGCTCAGAGCCAGAGCCTGGCCTTGAATGCATCCAGGGATGGGGCATTCACAACCTCCTTGGGCAACCATGGCACATGCATAGCATAGCACCACTATGGTGCCAGCAGACCTTGGTCACCCATTTAGTGACCTAGGGTGAATATGCAGCAAATGAGCCCCACAGATCCCCACACACCTTCAGCAGGGCGTGAAGCCTCCCAGCCATGCGTCTCAGAGAGGTGAGGGACCTGAGATGTACAAGGACACAATGGTAAGATTTTGAGGTTAGTCAAAATGTTGTGGTAAATTAGCGGAAAGTATTTTTCTGCCGTAATCTTCCTTCTGATGCAGTGCCCGAGTTTTTCTACTGTATTAAAGAAAGGCACTGAGCGTGGGAGGTGTGAACTAATGCTACCGCACTGGGAAGGTGGTGACAACCCAAGATCTCAAAAGGATGTTCATCAGACTCCCTGTTTTACATGGGTGTGAACGAGTAAAGTGGAAAAAAAGGGAAATTATTGGTCTTTTAGAAAGAAAAACAAACCAAATAGTTGCCAGACAACCTCGTCAGCAACTGCTATTTAAGAGCACAGACATTTGCTCATCTTTGCCCCGAGCAAGTATTAACCTTTACGCACGGCCTTTGCGCTCTGTTCCCTTTCACTCTGTGTTCCCTCTGCCCCAGCAGAGCCCTGGCCATTACTTGCTGCTGCATTGCAATGCTTTGGTGGTGGGAACATTCCCAAGCAGCAAAACCTCCCTGTGAGTCACACACAGGGATGCCTCATGCTCGGGAAGGATTTTCCCAAATACTGAAGGTGATGTGGTGTCCTCACATAGCCCAAAGCATCTCACGCTCATCGGTGCTCGTGCTGCAACTGGCTCTAACATCCCCCAAATCATATCTTCATCCTCCATCTGCACTGCCTGGTGTTTGGAGGTCAGGGTGTGCTCAGAGGGCTGAGCTGTGCTGTGCTTTGCTGGGGCACAGAGGAAGCTCTGGGACCCACCAACACTTCCCAAGGGAGGGCAGGGGCAAAGGGGACTGGAAAGCCCACACAGACCCTTCGGGCATTGCCTCCACCCATGGGACCCTGGAGCTGCCCTAGCAGTAATGCTCTCTATTCCCCACTTCTTTAAGAGCTGAATAAAAGGTTATTACAGACCTAAATGACTTAAACCTTACAACTTAGCGTATCTGCATTTCATAGCCCTTAAAAGGACAAAGCATTAACATTTTCCCTTCAGCTCAGGGTGACCAAGAAGCCACATCTAGTTTGCTGCATCAGCATTGTTTGGTGTAGGAAATAGAGTGGGATAAATAAAAGCTTTTCCACATTGGTGATATCTTCTGATCCCTTCCATAGGAGTGACCCCCAGTAGCCAGTGTAACCACTTCCACGCTTTGTCAGTCACCACCAAACATTTTGGGTTTGCAGATGTGAAAACCAAACGCAAGTGTTAAACTTTACAGGGCTCCCTCTCTGCCTGGGTAGCACCCCCCCCTCTCACCATGGGTGCAAAAGGCAGCGTAGCAGCAAAACTTTATGGCCAGACATTCAAAAAAGCTGAGAACTGTAGGACCAAAGCAGCTCTTGCATGTTGCCTCCTGCACAGGGGTAACCTTTCCAGATGTGTGCCAGATGTGGCGATGGCGTGAACCAGATGTGGAGCAAATAGTGGGCAGCTTCCAGGTTTGGCTTAAAACAGATGTGAGCACTGGGGAAATTTGGGGGATTTTACCCACCCCACTCCTCAAAAAAAAAAAAAAAAAGACATTTCAAGGGGTTCTGTGAATGTTTGTTCACACTTTAGCCCAAGCTAATAGATGCACAGCAAAGCTTTTTTGGTAGAATAAAGCAGAAATAGAGCTGCTGTGGCTCTGGGCAGCAGAGCTGGAGGAAAGCAGTGGTGCTGAGAAATACAGTCCTGGGAGACAAATCAGGAGGGTTTGGGACGAAGCTTGAATTTGGGCACAGGTTTGTGCTAGTGGCTTATTTATCCACACCCAGCCCTTCCACAGCACAACTGCTAAGACTAAAATAAATAAAAATAGAGTCAGTCAAGCTTTATTCATCCTAGAGTGTTGCTGTTTGAGTAGTTTGTTTCTTTGAGGTTGAGGAGTTGTCAAACCTCCCCAGTCCCTTCTGATGTTTTAGCACGCTTATCAGGTATGAGTAAAGCTATGTGCGAGAAATGAAAGGTTGTGGTCTTCAGAAGAACTGGTATCAGAAAGGCAGCCTAAAGATGAATAGCTTAGTGTATTCACACTTCTTCAGTTGCGTTTATTACACTGTATTCACGGGGCAATGTATGGGTTGTACTTTCTTTTTCTCTTTTTTCTTCTTTTCCTGCGTATTTGATCACGCATTTGAAAGACTGCGGTGCTGATAAGAGAAAGATAGGAGCTGGGAGGGAGCAGCATAAACACAGATTCCCTGCACACACACGATGCCTCTTTAATTACCACTTCATCCGAGCACAACTGCACACGAACAAGGACATTTGTTGGCACTGGGAAGTTGCACAGCAGCTCCTCAAGTGTTTTGCATCAAAAGGGAGCTAAATCCCAGCACTGCTTTATTTCCGTCCTGACTTCAGAGTCAGATCTGCTGTTGGTGAGAACAGCTAGATATGAGCATAAGGACAACTCCTACCTGGGGTAGGCTCTTCAGCAGGAAACAAAAATAGAGGTGCAATCCAGGCAGCTCACAGGACAGCCCGTAGCTCACTTCAGAAGCAGCTTTTGCGTGGCTGGTAGGACCAGCGAGAAATAAGGAACAGAAGTGCTGTGGTCACTGAAATCTATTGCCACACAATCCCTTTGAACAGGAAACAATAAAACCCAGCTCTAAACCCAGTGTCCAGAACCAGAAACTCACCAAAATTGTGAGAGCATCCCGAGGAAGGCACCGGAGCAATATGGGATCCAACACCTTCATTCTCAAGCATCCTCACCCTGCAAACAGCCCCCAAGCACTGAACCTGCCCCTGACCAGCAGTTACAAAGGTACTGAGCCCTCTGCAATCCTCAGGATTGCAAATCAGCTGCAACTAAAGCTACTGCTAACAACACTGCCAAGATGACCTGGCATTGCAGATGGTGGAAATGCCCGCCAGCAGCACCTCCATTTTTTTCTTTCCCATATAAGGGCTTGTTCTCTTATTTAGAAATGACTCCCTGGGACTGACATGGAACTAAGTCAGAAGAATACTCTTGGATGGAGTTGGGGTTGGGATCGGGGTCGGGGTTGGGAATGGGGATGGGAGATGGAAGATGGAGTTTACATCTGAGTCTGAGCTGCCCTTGGCAGGGGTCATGATGCAGAGCAGGGAGCAGCTCATTCTGCAGATGGCTAGCACTGATAGTTTTGTATGTTATCAAATTTTCCTTCCTGATTCTTTTATAATAACAGAAATACGACCAAGATTAAATTAAAAATATATTTTTGAAACGGTGTTGCCCATACAGGCACACTCAGAGCTACACAGTGTGCCAGGCAGTGATGTATTCTGAATGCTGAGTTTGTTTCCAGAAGTCATTGCTAACTTTTCCTACCTCAGTAATGATTCAGTTTTTTGTCCTAAGCTAAAGGTCATCATTAACTCATGCTCTTAAGGGAGGGCTCTGTAATCATCGCTCTATCTACCACTGCAAAGGTGTGAAAAATATTGCCTGAAATGCATGGCGACAGCACCTACACCTCCCCCCAAAAAAAGCCAGAATAGATTTTTTAAGAGGTATGGCAAATCTGTGGGGCTGTGATCTCTTATGGCGGGTGGACAATACTTGTAACAGACCCTGCAAGAAACGCACTATTTCTTTTCCTTTGCTGCCCAAACCCGATTTTAAAATTGGGACCCACACCCAATTTTAGCCATAAAGCCTCTCTGTAATCTCCAGCTCTGATTTCCGAAGCTTTGTAATTTAGAGACTTTGAGTCAGCTCCAAATTTGCTGTTGTGGAACTGAACCAGTTGAACCCTGCTGCATGGAGCCAGAGGCAGCGGAGGGTGCTCTGCCTCCTCCTTATGCACCCAAAGTCCAGAAAACCTGAAATATTTCCCTTGCTTCCTCTTCAGGCACATACAGTGCTGCTTTCTTTTGTAAATCTCATCTCTGTGTTTATCCAGCTTGAAAACGACATGAAATTACCTTGTATCAAAGCCTGGTTAATGAATTAATTTCTGTGTTGGAGTAAAAGCAGAATAGACCAGTTCAATTCCAGGCAAGCCCTGCAGTTTTCATTATCTGAAATAATTAGTACAATAATGGCTCTTCTTTGAGGACATTGTCAAATGTGCAGTTTGGGGATGGGATAAACGATGGAGAGGGCTGGATCTCTTTGGGTACCAGCAGGACAAGGCAGCAAATGGGAAATTGAGGGAGTGGGGATGTTCTCTCCTTCTGCAGCACCAGGGAGGAGAAGAAGCAAATCCCAAAGAGGAGAGGCAGTGGAGAAGGGGCTGCAAGCAACAGTGGGAAGTGGCTGAGAGGAGATGGGTGTGGGGTGCTTGGAGCCATGCAGGAGCAGGAGGAGATGATTCCTCTAGCCAAGTAATGCCGAAGCCACTTTCTTGCTGTGGGCTGTTCTCAGGGGAAGAGAGGATGGGGGGATAGTACAGGAAATCAACACACTTGTGGTTTCTTTTAATCTGCAAGTATCACTGTGTCAAGTTTCGCACCTGAAGAGCATTTGCAGCGCTCTGGTTTCCCCCCATGCCAGAAGGCACAGTAGCACCGTGTCCAGTGCTCTGCAACTGACCTCGGGGCTCTGACCTCAGCGGCTGAAGGTGAGAAGACCTGAGCTCCTCACACTGACCAGAGCACAAAGAGCACACTAGGCTGATGCTGAGCGAGCCCTGCCAGCAGCACATCGGCTGTGCATCAGTTACAGGAGTCTGAGTGGAGAGCTGTGGGCTCTGCTGTGAGCATGCAGCTAAGGACAGAAGGAAAAGAATCAGGGGGTCATAAAGGTATGTGCCCCGCAATCTGGTTCATCCTTGCTCTTCATCACAGCTACCTGTGCTCCTTCTGTGCAGGACTTACCTCCGGGGATATCTGTCCTGCTAGTTGTTCCCAGAGGGGGCAGCTCCCCAAAAGTCTGGCCAGTACACTTTACACCACTTCTGGAAACAGATTTTTATTAGGCACAGAGTGCTGATACACCTGCAGAGGTGTATCCAGATCTCATTGCGTGTGTTTAACATTACAAAATCACAGATGGCTGGGGCTGACAGAGACTTCTGGCTCCATCTAATCCATCCCCTGCTCCAGCAGGGACACCCAGAGCAGGGTGCCCAGGATTGTGTCCAGGTTGTGTGCAAAGGAGACCCAACAGCCTACTTGGGCAACCCATTGCTTTGGAACCTGCATCGAAGTGCTTCTTGATGTTCAGAAAGAAACTCTGTGTTCCAACTGAAAAGAGGTTGGCTGCTTTCTTTGCACCCTCCCTGCAGTGATAGGATGAGAGGTAATGGCTTTAAGTCGCACCAGGAGAGGTTCAGGTTGGATATTAGGAGAAACTTATTCTCAGAAAGAGTGGTGATGCATTGGCACTGACTGTCAGGGAAGTGGAGGGGTCACCATCCCTGGAGGTGTTTGAGAACCATGGAGATGTGGCACTGGGGAACATGGTCAGTGGGCATGGTGGGGTGGGCTGGGGTTGGGCTTGGGGATCTGAGAGGTCTTTTCCAACCTTAATGATTCCGTGATTCCGTGATGCAGACATTTAGAAACATTGATCAGATCACCCTCAGCTGAATCCCCTCTTTTCCAGGCTGAACATTCCCAGCTCTCCCAGCCTCTCCTAGCAATAAGGGCCCTCATTCTGAGCCAATGTGAGGGATTTTTACCCCCCACTTCACGTATCATTGTTTTTCCTTTTACACTCTTCTCATTGGTGCATTTATTCATTATCTATAAAATGCTTTCTAGAAAAATGCTTAACAATTGTCCTCATTCCACAGACAGTTCAGTGAGAACAGTGTGCCACGGAGCGGTTTTATTTTGTAAGTAATTAATTTCAAAATAAGAAAATGGATCAGACAATTCAGCTAAAGTCAAGAGAATGTTTTATAAAAGCAATTTTCAAATACAGAAGTGTCATTTCTGAAAATGCTTACGTGCATTTCTGAAAATATTTACAAGGAAAGAAGTAGGACGAAGAGATGTTTCACTTTTTAGTAAAACAAAAAATAGTAATAGTCCTCCAAAATAGCTGTTACAAAAATAAATGGAAATAAATGTATCTTACGGACCGTGCTGTCTCCAGTCAAAGAGAAAAAGAGTTCATTCCCTCTGAAGATAAATTATGACAAAGTGAGGGTGAAATGGACCAGGTTCTGCTCTCAGTTCATGCCAGAGTGAATCTGCTGCCTTCTTACTGCTATTCCTTTTTCTTGCTCCAGACAGCTGGAGGGTATGAAACTCTTTCTATCCACAATTTCCAGTGTTAAACAATTAGATTTTCATCCCTGTTTGTGAAGATAGAGGTGATGACAAAGCAAAGGGAATTAAAATGGTGGTCACACCCAGCAGCTGTAGCAGTGGTGTGGAGCCACTATTGTGTTCCATGATGTGGGCACCACCTCTTTGCCTCTTCCTGCCCCTCATTCCTTCACACTTCAAGGTTGGATGGGATCCTGAGCAGCCTGATCTGGTGGGGAGCACCCGGCCCACAGCTGGGTCTTGGAACTAGATGATCTTTAAGGTCCCCTCCAACCCATTCTGTGATGCTATGAAGTTTTTGTTTGGTTGGCAAGTAGAGCAACCAGGTGAAACTGAAGCTTACCAGCAGTCATGGGGTCTGGCAGGTCCACCACAGCAAGACTGACATCATGGCCAACTGCAGTTGTGCTGTAGTGATGCAGCCCAGCCCTATGACTTCCCTCAGCATTTAAGCCAAAGAGAAAAAATTACTTCCTTCTTTAAAGACATTTCCCTCACACCCCTCCTTCCAAACGGTTCATGTCATTGGAATAAATCATGTCTGCTCCCAGAGGAGTTATTTCTGCTCCCACAGAGGGGTCCATGGTCACTGTCCTCCGAGGGCTTTGGTCTTAATCCGGAGTTTGTGAGGCAGAGCTGAAGAGCTTCGGCCCTTTGTGTGATCTTCTAAAGGGGAGGGCAAGCTACATGGGGGTGGAGGAGAAGTTTTGGGCACTTGCTGCTCATCATCTTCATCTGAGACAGTCGTGGTGCTCTCCTTGCTCACCTCTGCCAGACCAGGACAAGGGGATGAGAAGCAGGCACTGCCTGGGAAAGGCAAATGGAACGCATGTTTGTCTGGGCAGTGGTAATCAAGGAAAGGAGAGCAAACTGTGGATCTGAAGGCTGAATCGAGCCTCTTTGGTTGGTGTAGGCCAGGTGTGTCCATAGGAACTGGCTTTGAGTCACAGCCAAGGAAGTTTCTAGATGGGTTAAAGGTTTTGCATGAAAAGTCGGCCGGCTCCAGCACCCTTGGCACAAAGCTCTTCGTGAAGCGGCAGGAATCCCCAGCAAAGGGCTCTGCTTCAGGGAACGGCGAGAGCCCTTTGTGCCCTCGGAAATAAATCCCCAGGAAATCCTGCAGGGAGCGGCCCTGGTGGGTGCTGGCATCAGGGCTGATGAGCCCAAAGCGCAGTTTGAGGGCCAGCAGCTCCGTCCTGAGGATGGCATTCTCCTCGCTGAGCGCGGCCAGCTGACTCTCCATGGCAAAGTCATTGAGTCGCCTCTTCTCCCGCGAGCGTTTGGCCGCCTCGTTGTTCTTGCGTCTCTTCTCCCAGTACATGTTGTCCTTCTTCTCGTCTGGCATGAACTCCCGTTTGCGCCGGGAGGGTCCGCTCACTCTGCTGTGCAGGAACTTTGCTTTGCTGTGCTGAAGTGTGAGGTCGCTGATGGCGCTCAGCGGCGCCATGAAGTTGTCCATGGTTGTTGATGCAGCTCAGTTCTGCCAGAATTGAGACATAAAGCTGTTACCACTGAAGCTGCTGTTAATCGTTACATTAATAAACAACATGAAGGAAAAAAAAAAAAAAAAGAACAAATTAAGATAACCCTGTGATTTTTTTTTCCAGCTGTCACACCAGGAACATAGTTGACGCATCCAAGTCTTCAAATCTCAATGTTGCTTCAAAGACCATCATAGAACCATAGAGTCACAGAACCAATTGAGTTGGAAGGGAACCTTCAAGGCCATGTGGTCCCACTCCCTGCAGTGAACACAGACACCCAAAGCTCCATCGGGGTGCTCAAATCTCATCCCCTGACCTTGGATGTCTCTACAGAATACCCAAAAGTTGACTAAGAGTTAAAGAGGAGACAACCCTGTGCACAATCACGAGCACTTTGCCTGACTTAAATCAGGATAACAAAAGTTACTGTTTATCTGCCACTGATCTCAAACTGCCTTGCTTAGGAGATAAGCCTCATTGCCTCTGTTTCTCAGATAAAGAAGGCAAAGGGAAGAGAATTGATTTATTTTAGTTACATACCTCAGCAGATGAAATAGGATTACATCTCAAACGCATCTCCTCAGTCCTGGATTCTCCTAAAAGCCACTGGTCTTACTTTATGAAGCTGGATTTGATTACGTTTGTGATTTTGGTAGGACAACCACCAAGAGTTATCACCACAGATCTTCCTCTAAACTGCAAGCTTCCTGTAACATGTGGATCCTCCAGGAAATCAAATGGGCTGTGCTGATCAGGTAGGGATGTCTAGAAGTAAGCACCTGCATGTGGTTCCTCTGACACTCTCTATGCAAAATGGCTGCTGTTTATTTTTACGGATATAAATACCTCCAGTGTTGGCACGTTGTTGTCTACTCTGCTTTCTGCACAACGCAGATCTGCAGAATAGACAAATATGCATCTACAGACAAATCCACATTTATTTGATGTCTGACTTTGTTCAGCACGACCAGAGCTCTTTGCTGGTTTAAATCAGGGCAAGTTCCAGGAAAGTACTCTGTCCCAATCAGTGTGATTTTGTAATTAAATTGTTTTAGTTTAGCTGTAACTCTTTGAGATCTCAAACAGTATGCGAAGATTCTGAGGGTAACTAAAGACCAAAACAAAGAATCTCCTTTAGTGTGAATATGTTTGGGGTAGTTCCTCTGGTTTTTGTTTAAATTGACTCCTGAACTCAAAGCATCAAAGTGAGTGTGCCTGTGGTTACTGGCAGCGTCAAAAGGCAGAAATATGCTATTGTTTTAGGGTGTAATCACTTACCAGGAATTTTTCAAGTTAGTATTTGACGTGACTTCTTTGTTGAATGAGTCAAAGATGAACAGGTGGCTTTTTCACTGTGTAAACTCATCAGCTGCATCGGGTAAAGTAGTTTGTCTTCTCCTTGTCCACCTCTTGCTCCCAGTGCCTGTCATGAGGATGTCCTGTAAGAAGTTTCAAGATGTGGTAACCAACAGACTGTGGTCAACGTAGCTGGGAAGGGCATGAAATAAAAGGGACCCAAAAGAGGTATGCATGAGACAGAACAAAAAAAAGTAACAAAAAACCTGAGTTCTTCCTTCCAGCAAACAACCTCTTCTCTTATCTTCACCATGAGCAGCCTCTGATGAACTATACTTTCCAACAGGTTGTACAGAGCCCTCCAGCAAAAATATATATCTGACAGGAACTGCTTCACTGCAGATGTACGAGGTGATACACACTTCTCTTTAAATAAAACACACTGCCTCATCAAACAATGGTGAATCTGTTTGTTGTTTTTGTTTTTTGTTTTTTTTTTTTGTGATCATAATTTGGGGTACTCAAGTTACGTTATTCTTCTTCCCAAGGATGAAATAAATTAGAATAGTGCCAGCAAAAGGCAACTGGAACAGGCATAGATTTATTTCTGTATACAGAAAGGCTAACTCGTTATTTCTCAAGGATAAAGCACGTGCACTGGAGTTATCGGGCAGTGGATTACAAAGAAAGAGAAGGAAGCACATCTTTGTGCAACGCAACATTAAAATTTGTAGTTTTGTTGCCTTGGGATAGTGTGACCATCAAAAGCAAAAGGGGAACCAAATAAAGATAGGACTAAAGATTGCACCAAGGACATCTTTGAGCTAACTCCACCTAATTGTTCTTGCATAATGAAATATTAGATGAATTCAAGTACGACATAAATCACTGAATCATGGAATGGCTTGGGTTGGAAGGGATCTTGAAGATTGTCTACTTTCAACACCTCTGCTGTGGGCAGTGTTGCCAACCACCTTATCAGACAGCAGATCAGACTGCCCAGGGCCCCACATTTCCAGCGAGTGGGTGATAGAAGCTGTAAAACTGAACACTGCTGTGGGTCACATATTTGTCTTGAATTAGAAGAGAGAATGAACCGGATAGCCTACAATGCAAACATTTTAATAAAGTGAATGTCTGTGTTTGGTTCTTTACAATCTTTTTTTTACAATCATTAATCTTTAATGTACAAGTCTAAATGTTACAACTTTTCACATCACTTCTTCTACTTCTTAAATCTTCACATCAACTCATTTCACCCCTACTTACATCACAAATTCATCTCCACAAACACCAGTTCTACTTTTGAGCTGGATCTTGTTCTAAAACAGAGCCAGGAGGACTATTTTTTAATCAAGAACACAAGAAGGCAAAATTTTTTAACCCACAGCACAAGAAAAACGTGCAGTTGTTGGTGTGGGTCCAAGGGAAGTCACAATGATGCTCAGAAAGTTGGAGTCCCTCTGCTATGGGGAAAGCTGAGTGTTGGAGCCGTACAGACTGGCAAAGAGAAGGCTCCAGGAGACCTCACTGTGGCCTTCCAGTACTTAAATGAGGGAGAACGACTTTTTACATGGACAAGGAGGGATGGTTTTAAACAAAAAGGTTTAGATTAGATGTTAGAGGGAACAAAGGGAAAAAAACTTCCAACTACTTTTTAAAAAAAAAAACAAAAAAACCCCCCACAATTCTACTATTCCATTATGCCATTATTGTGACAGTTGTGACAGTTTCTGGATCAAACTTTCATTTCCAGCTACCTTTCTGTACTCAATTCAGCACCCATATACATAAGAAACATGGAGACATCACTGGTGTTTGACTTCACCACAGTCAAACTGGCAGCAGAATTTAAGATTGAAAGAGTTTAAATCAGCACAAAGGTGGAGCCTCGCTTTATGCTGATGGAAATGAGGCAAAGATTGGAGCTCCATGATCTTTAAGGTCCCTTCCAACCTCAGCCATTCTATGATTTGCCCGTGTTTACACTCCTCAATCATACCAGCTTAAACTAAATCAGATCTCAGCTACTAATCTCAAACTCCTCTATACTTCTGTATCTAACCCGCAGGAGTTATTCAGAATTTGCCCTGATAAAATGAGATAGTAGCAGCAAGCCCCAGCAAGCATGGTATGATTTACAGCAGAAACCTTTGCAAACTTCTTGCAGGAACATCATGCGGTACAAGCACTGTTAAGCACCTCAGTAAACATGCTTGTGTCCTCTCTGCTGCTCGGTCTGTGGTTTGGTAATATCTCACAGTGCTCTCTAAACTCTCTAAACCTACTGGCCTATCTAAGGTGAAGGGCTATTATTATTCTAATCACGTTCTTGACTATTTCACATTCATGCTAAGGCAGCAGTTAGCAGGTGCTGCTGAGCAATACCTATTAATCTCTTTTTGTATTTCAGTGGGAGATGGCATGATCCTACAGCAGAAAGGAGGGAAAAAAACAGGGAGAAAACTTATGGATCTATATTACTGAGCTCCAGGAAAACTGCTTCTGTGGTTCATACTGATGGAAGAATCAGTCTTGCTGGCAAGGCTTTAAACTTACATTCATGACAAAACTGACTCAGAAACGACGAGAATCTGCCAAAGTCACGTATTTGCTGCACATCTATTTGAAAACACACAAAGGATTGTTGACTCACATTGCCAAATGCTGCCGTAAGGCTGCCAACGTGCTGCGATGCCTCTACGTCTGTCAATGTGTTGTGATGCCTTTTCAGACAGAGCTTTAAAGTTGAGCATGTTCACTTTTTGGACCAGGTTTTCTAAAGGCTGGTTTCCACTACAGCTTTGCATTCCATTGGGTTCTTGTTTGAAAACCAGATTGCAAGACCCTGCGAGGATTTCCTTTAAAACCTGTCCATGCCCTCTGAATCTGTACAGAAAGACTTGACTTTCAGGGGGCTGAAAGATAGATTCAGCTTTTTGAATGCATTAAGATTCTAGATTAAATTGCCTTTGGGGCTTAATCACAACAGGGTTTCTGTTAGGGTCAAATTGCAGTTTTCTTGCAATTTTGGGGTGCATGACACTTGAAACAACGTGAACCTCCCCAACCTCACCAGCAGAACTGCAGGTTCTTACAACTGTAAGCTGTACAAACCTCCTTCAGTTCCTCTGTACTTGTGATCAAAGCACTGTGCAGGCATTGCCCACGGCAACTAGCCTCAAAGCAACCCAGGTATTGCAAACCGACCTCGAAATTTTACCGTTTGTTGACAGTGGACTGTAAGACTGGAAATGCTTTGAAAATCTCTTAAAACCTCAAAGTTGCTGATGATTCTTTGCAAGCTACAGAGTTTTGCAGTTCTTGGTCTGCAGAACCCTCAGTGTGTGCTGCTGATGGATAAAGAATCTTCATGTGGTTTGCTCCGTCCAGCTCTCCTCTGCTCCCCAGGCACCTCCCCCTGTACACTGTGACTCAAGGTAGGACAGAGCATAAAAAAATATATTCTTTTTCTCTGGGAAGAAATCACTTTTTTTAAAAAAGAATCAAATAGGTTTCTCAGTGTTATTTCATGGTTTGGGCGAAAAGCATTGGATTTTTGGCAGATTATGCTGGATACACTCGGGTTTTTTATAGACATTTTTCACTTGTCTTATTCCTTCAGTTCCAACCCTACTGGGTAGACCCTGCCCCAGGAACATTTAAAGCCAGAATAGCTGAATTGTGCCCTTTTCTCTCACCATTTCTGCACCGCACAGTGACCTCTGAGCTGTTTCATTTGGATGCAGTAATACTGCGCAGGAGTTCCCCTGAGCTAACTCACTCCAACAAGATCAATTAGATCAATTAGCATGGTCAGGCCACACTTTCTAATGCAAATTGTTTCCTGGTAGCACATTCAAGACCAATGCACAAATTTGCAGGACCAGACCTCCTACTATATCAGATCAGAGATATTGCTTCTAGAACAAAAGGACGTAAGATTATGCCATGCAAGAGCATAGATGACAGATATGAAGTTGTTCATTTTTTGTGTGTGCGCAATATTAATATTTTAGGTGGCAGCTTTTGTTCTTGTGCTACCAAGAAGGTGGAGCTGCGTTTCCCTTGGTGTGATGTAGGAGAAATCTTGTTCCACCACCTAATACAACAGTTGGTGGCGCGGGAGGTGGACGTCTGCTCACAGTGCATGCACGGCTCTGCCTTGCTCTGCCTACCCAGGGATGGAAAATTCCATTGGGTTCATACAGAACCTGACAAAAAAAAATGCTGTCACGACACTTTCTTTAAAAGTGAAGATCAATTCATTAAGATAAGCTCATCATTATCTGAAATTTACCCCAGATGATATGGTGGTGCCTCATCAAAAGGAAGAAATGAGAGGCGGATGAGACCAACAGGTAAGTCCCTTCCTCTCCATGGCAAAGAATATCATTGCTATGAAATCAGTGAGGTCTGAGTGTGTGTTTAAAGCAAAGCATAGGCTACGAGCTTCTCATGAGACAAAGCAGAAATGCTGCCTTAAGTAAAAGTGCCATTAATTTTTGCAAATCTGCGGCTTTCAGTCCTGGAAATGAGAAGTCGAGACCCAGAAGGAAACAGTTCAACGCCTTTCTCATCTTTCCTAGATATTACCACCAAAGTCAGTACAAGGACATGTGAAAACCTCTTTTGAAAGACTGTGCACAACCATTTGCGAATGACAAAATCCCCCACCCTGCAGACACTGCAAAGACACCACTGTCACAGTCAATAACAATACTTAAGGAGGAAAATCAAAACAAACCCTATTAAAAGCAACGTACTGCCCCTAAGTTTCAAAATCCATTTGCTAACAAACAGCCATCAGAACAGAACACCTTCTACAGCTGATACTCCTGACTCTTTTCTTTATCCTTTCACCTGTTGCAAAAAGCCCATCCCTAAAGACTTTCTTTGGACAGGAAAACCTTCGGGACCTGCTTGATTGCCCATTCTCCTGTTCCTTGTGCACTCACATCAGCAGTCACAAAATATTCCTGATTTAGAAAACTGCTACTGAGCCATGCAGACACAGGCACGCAGCACACAGAAAGCCCCACGGGGTTCTGCTACCCCAGCAGTGCACTCACTGAGACCCCAGCCCTAAGAAACAGCTTTGCCATAAGTGAACAAACCACAGCCGAGCCCTCCCTCTCTTTTCCTGCTCCATCTCTACCACAAACACCTCCAGGATGGAGGACCAATAACAGCATCCCCTTTCAAACACTCCTAAATAAAACTCATCTCAGCGCTTACCCTTCTGTTTCAGAATGAGAAATAGAAACCATTCTCACAAAATAAGTATCCGATCAGGAGCAGAGCATGGCGAGGAGCAGGTATTTCTGTGCGCTGTGCCATCCCCATTGCTTTCTGGTAGGAAGACCCCCATCGTTGTGTTCTTTTGCAGTGGTTCCATCGCAGGATCTGATGCTCTCTAGAGACACTCCTTTTGCTTTTTAAAGGAAGGAAGCCATCACTACTCGTTTGCCTTGAAGGCTGCCGGGCCTCCTGCGCTCTCTGAAGTGTGTGCAAAGGGCACCCACTGCAGAATGTGATCACATCTCTCATTCATTAACTGTTAATATCAAGATTTTCTGTCAGAGGTTTCCCTTTCACTCTGCTATCACAGGAAATAAATGAAACTTTTGAAGATGCTGCAAGGCAGAGTCATGCATCTGCCTGAGTTTCTATCACACAGAGAACTGGTGAGAAACCCACTGCTTCTCAAGATGAAACTCCTTATTTCAGTCCCAACTCATTGAGTTTCTCCGTTCCCAAAGCGACTTGGTGCTTATCAGTGCTTTATCAGATTCAAAATACATACTCCTGGGTAACTGAAGCGAAATGGTTACGTAAATTCACCTGGTCCAGTCCTAGAAATAATATTTCTGGTTTAAAATGAATTGCTGCTGCTGAGTTCTGTCTGAAGCTATACTGAGGAGCTCCTCTACAAATGCTGTGTGACCCATTCCAGATTCCACCCAGAGCAGCAGAAATCAGCATCCAGGTTATAATGCTCTTTTACAGAAATACAGCAGGTTTTTTTTGTTTTTTTTTTTTTTACAGCAGTAGAAAAACAACATTTTTCCATGCCTTGAGTTATTCTTTGCACTATTACTACGCACAACTGGACACAGATTGCTGTACTCACCACCGCCTTTGCTCTCACCAGCAGTCCTTTGCTCTGTGAGATCTCCAACTGCACTAGACCAGTCCTCACCTTCCCCAGCACCAATGGTGGGGACGCTTCAATCCAAGCACTGATGGTGGGGGCACTTCACCTCCAACCATCACAGCCACACCGACATGGCAGCAAAGCAAAAGCACACGTCAAACCAACACTACGTGACAGCCAAGCCGGAAGGATGGAGGAGAGACCCAGAAACCAGAGGAAAATATGAGAGAAATTTCAAGGAGTGAGAAATCCAAGGAAATTTTTTTCGAATTTGGTTTTTAAGGAAAAATTACGTCATGTTGTTTTTCAGATAAGTAAGGATCCGCCACGGCCACTGAAAGTCATGGAAGGTAAGAGAAAACGGAGCGTATCCCACTGTCAATTTATTTATCCCACTATTTATTTATTTAATGACAGAACTGTTCAAATAACTTTACTGACACTCTTCAGAAACAGATCTTTAGTGCACACTTTGCTATTCATTTACCACTACCTTTTGTCTGCTAACAGTAATGACTCCCTCGGTAGAACTACACTTTATGTTGCTTATATAAATAACCAAGAGATTATGAACAGCAGAATGAGATTTGGCAGATTTGCAGCATCCAGACAGATAGACATCTCTGGCCTATGTAGTGTCACTTGGTTTTACAACAAATACTGCCTTATTAACTTGCATTTTATATCTGCCATCTCGCTGCTTATGTAGAAGGGGAAATTTGGTTAATTCCACAGAATTCAGGATGGCGGTTTCGTTTTATTTTGCATATCAGCTTTTCTCTCTAGAGGATTTTCTACTGCAGATCAACTTATGATGACCATCAAGTACAAAAATAATATGGGTTTTTGCATGGAACGGAAAGCAAGGCCACAGCTACAGCTACCACAGCAACCTAAGAAAGTTCCAATGGGCCATGATTTTGGGGGGTAAAAAAATGTTTGTGGATTCCTCCTTTCTGCCCATACAGGAGGAATTACCTTGTTTTAGAGTTCACAGGAACCCATTAAGAAAGAAAGCGTTATGGCCCAGCCTTTGGTTTTCTGCTTGTAGGCTGTGCTGTGGTCTATCAGCACAAAACCAAAGCCCTTGGTAGAGATTTATGTGCTGTTTTCAAGTGCTTCTAACACCAAATAAGGCCCTTGAAGTGGAATATGTGAACCTTCTAAATTCATGACTATGACATTCATCCCGCTCTATTAATAATATGTTTTATCTTCTTCACTGTAACATTAAATTTTCGCCACAGCAAAATAAGGACAGTAAATCCTGGGCAGTAAAGTGGGGTTAAATATTCCTTTTCTTCGTGTACAAGTGTCATGAGAGGTGTCAGCCTTAAAATTCAAAACCAAAACTACTTCGCCACAAGCTACAGAGATAACACAATAATTTTACACCTTCCTCCAGGTACATAAACACACATCACCTGAAAACGGACTGCATATAATTCCAAGAGTTTATTTGGAATAGTTTTCCCTTTCTTCCTGCCTCTCATTTGTTACTGAAGGGAAAATCTAGAGAGGAAATGACAACAGCCCTTCCCCATCTTTGAAATGAGATGTAAAAGCTTTTTCAAAGCAAGAAAAGAAAAGGCTTGTTGCCAGAAGCTTTGTGAAGTGAAGAAACCACGTTAAAAGCTGAGCAATGGTAGAAAGAAAGTCCGACATAATGTTGATGATTAATTTTTTTAAGCAGTTTTCAACATCTGGATCATTTGAATTTTTGATCTTGGCTCTCAGTTCTTCTAACGTGACCAGGGATGTACTGAAGGGCATACACATCAATACCTTCCCCATACAGAGACAGCAAAGGGAAGCCAATTACACAGACTTGGAAAGAAAGGATGAGATTTTCAGAACAGTTTTGCAGCTAGGAACTCTACATTTTTTAAAAGCTGGCCATAAGCGTCAAAGGAAGGACAGGATGAGGAGGCAGAAGATGGAAGCAGAAGGTTTGAAACACTTAGAAACCAGCTTAGAAAGAAAACTGGTGGGTCCTTGACACTCAAGGTCTGGCTGGATGGGGCTCTGAGCCTTTTGGAGCTGTGGGTGTCCCTGTTCATTGCCAGGGAGTTGGACTAGACAGACTTTAATGGTCCCTTCCAACAATTCTATGATTCTAAGAAAGCTGATTGTGCTGTCAGTGGTTTCACCAAAGCCAACTGGCCTCATCATCTCTACCAGCAAAGCTTTGTACAGAGATACACAAACAGCTGGGTTCTCCTTTTGGCCAAGGAAGTCACCTCTCTATTACAGCTCCTCTGCAGAGATCATGTCTACCCCTTTCTTAGGATTTGCAAGTCCAGCACTTTATGTTCACCATGTTATGATCAAGCTCAGCTACTCTGCTGGCTGCCATAGACACACCAGGGGATGCTCTAGAAACAACAAAATCTGCACAATGTAGAAAGCAAATTCTTCCTTACTCTCACAGCCAGGAAAATGCAAGCTCCAGAAGCGACAAAAATATCTGAGCACCTCAACAAGGCAAACACCATACAATAAAATCCACAAATACAACCACTCCAGTGCTCCTCACTAAGGAGAGGAAGAAAAATTTTGGAAAAGGTATGAAGCACTGCAAGATGGTGAGTGTGCACACATCACGTCTGTGAACAGATAGATGGTGTGTTCGCAGGGAGTTGGAATGAATGTAAGGAGTTTAGAGGAAAAGAAGGAGGAAGGGAAGGGAAGGGAAGGGAAGGGAAGGGAAGGGAAGGGAAGGGAAGGGAAGGGAAGGGAAGGGAAGGGAAGGGAAGGCATTGCCTGGTGCCTGGGTCCCCTGGCCAGGACTTACCTTGTAGGTCACACAGGGTCAGCCTGCATTGGCTCCTGTCCAACAAGCACTGTGCAGGGTGAGGGGTGATGAGCTCCTCTTCTGCCTCAGAGCTTGATTGCTGGTGACAGCCCTGTCCTGAGAAACGTGCCAGTGGGTCAGTGAAGATCTTTTTTTCTTTTATCTTTTAATTTTTTTTTTTTTTTTTTAAATAATGAGGTCTCAGGAAAGCCAGAGTCATGCAGTCATTACGTAAGAGGAGGTGGCAGGGCAGACAGCACTACGAGAATCAGGTGGCCCCGGTGGCACCGCTGCTTTCACTATGCTTCCCGTTAGCATTTACACCCTTAACACTCGTCATCCCCAGTGGTGGCAGTGGAGGGGGTGGCCTCCCTGAGCCTGAAGTTGAAGAGAGTCTGCTGCAGGGGTTGAGTCACTCAGAAAGCTACGTGTCCAAGTGCCTCATGCATGGAGCTGAGGGAGGGGGCCGTGCTGGTGAGGGGCAGTGGTGGCAGAGCCCCACTGGGAGATGGGAGGGGAAGGAAGGAGGGCAGAATTACCCTGAGCATGCAGTAGATGTGGGGAGAAAGATCCCATGCTGGTAATCATAGAATCATAGAAAGGCTCGGGTTGGAGGAGACCTTAAAGATTATCTAGTTCCAAGCCCCTGCCATGGGCTGGGCTGCCAGACATCAGATCAGGCTGCCCAGGGCCCCATCCAACCCATCCTTAGGCACCTCCAGGGATGGGGCACTCACGTTCCTTCTAACCCCTACAATCCTGTGATTCTCTGGGCATTTCAGTGCCTCAACGCCATTTGAGTAAAAAAAAATTCCCCCTAAAAGCTAGCCGAAATCTCCCTTTTTTTTTGCTTAAAGCCATTCTCTATTGTCCTATCAGACCGTGTAAAATATCACTCTCCCTTCTACTTGTAAGCTCCCTTTCAGTGCTGGAAAACCCCAGGGAGGTCTTCCTGAAGCCTTCTCTTCTCCAAGCTGAACACCCCCAGCACCCTCAGCCTTTCTCCAGCACTTTTTTATCTTCGTGGCCCTCCTCTGGACCCACTCTGACAGCCCCACATCCTTCCTGTGCTGGAGTTCCCGGATCTGGATGCACTACTCTAAATGGGGCCTCATGAGGGTAGAGCAGAGGGGTCTGTCCCCTCTCTGCTCACTGCTCCTCCTCTGTAGGTGCAGCCCAGGGTTCTGTTGGCTGTCTGGGTTGCAAGCACACACTGCTGGCTCCTGTCCATCTTTTCATCCATCAGGACCCCCAAGACCTTCTCTGCAGGGCTGCTCTCAAGGAGTTCTTCTCCCAGTCTGTATTCCCACCTGGGATTGCCCCAACCCCACACTTGGCTTTGTTGAACCTCATCAGGTTATCATGTGCCCACCTTTTCAAGCCTGTCTAGGTCCCTTTGGATAGCATCCCTTCCTTCTGCTGTATGAACTGCACCACTCAGCCTGCTGCCATCAGCAAACTCACTGAGGGTGCACTTGACCCCACTGTCTTGGGCTGCATATAAAATAAGTAATATAGTTAATGTACGTGAGTAACAAAACATCTTTTTTAAAAGATTTTCTATGAAAACGTTTTTTAAAAGGCATGAAAAACATAGAAATAGTGGGATATTTGAGCTCATTTTTGTGAAATTGGTGCATCAAAGACTGTTTCAATGGAAGTAGATGCAATTCTTAGTGAGTTCTCAAGGTGCTTGTCTGAGAGTTTTGATCTGATTTTACTCTTCCTGTGCTTCATCCTTCAATGTATTTGTTCACAGAAGTATGTGCTGCCAGAAAGTGATGGCACAAATAAGATGTGGTTGTGAAACGAGGGATTTCTTTTATATTAAAGTTAGTGGTATCTCTCTATGGATTTAAATTCCTGATCACTAAAGTGAAGATATTCATTGGCTGCAAATTTTATGGTGCTGATACTTTCATGGTGTACACTGCATCTGCTTTGACAGTGCTGGGATCTCATTGTGGTTTTGCTTTCTGTTGTAACACAGTGATGACGTTCCGCTGATACAGCTGGGATTCACTTTGCTGGATGAGGATTACAGCTTGTCTTGCATACCCCAGGGACAGGAAAAAAAAGGACATTGCTCTGCTGAGGCTCAGTGCAATCCAGAGAAGCTGATAGTCACCATTGTAGGCAGCTTTACCTGTTTGTAAACATGTCGATAGCCTGTGCCACCTGGTGGACACCAAAGATGAAACACTGAGATGTACTGGGGTGAATTAAGTGCTTGCTGAATGCACAAACACTGCTCTGAGTCCCAGACATCAACTGGTTCAATCCATAGACTTGGAGTGGAAGAGCAGTGAGAGCTGAACCACCCAACGCAAGGGGTACAAATGGGGCTGGGGATACATCAGCTTTTACAGAATCTCTTCTTGGTCATTTTAATCATTGTGAATTAAAATGCTCAAAGTATCTGAGTGACTTTGATCTTAGTTCTCTGTGTAAAATGTGTCAGCTTTGCTCTGGATGTTTGGCTGTATCCTACTGGGTGATACAGCCCAGGACTGTGGGTCTGGGAACAGGCTGAGCTGTAGAGGGCATTCTTCTCCCTCTTTATTCCCAAAAGAAATCACAATGAGAGTTACTGCTCAGGTTCCTGCTGCAAGCCTAGAGCCAGGAGCACCAGCTTAACTTCAGACTGCTCAACAACAGGCTGGACTATACCAACCATAACCATGCTTAGAATATAATATTTTTCTTAATTTTTTCCATTGGGAAATAAGGCCATGGGGTTTTCTACCTGTCAAGATAGAAGATGCTGAGCACTGTTGGTTTTTTTTTTTTTTTCCATGGAAAAACAACCTTCTGACTTAAAGATCTGGAAATACTTATCTCCAGAAATTATGATCTAACTGCAACATGTTGGAAGTGGTGAGTTATGAAAGGAAATATGAATAAAAGGCCTTTTTATGGAAATGCATCGTGTACAGTGATTGGGCCATTACATCGGATAGTGAGAGCATTTCAGATATTCAGAGATCATTTTGGAGATTGTTGCACCCAATGGTTTCTGTGTTGCCATCTGCTGTGCAAAAGAGCTGCACGAAGAAAAACATTCAATCCATTTTTCCACAGAAATATGGATTTTCATCTAGCAGGATATTTTCCACAGCAAATATCAATTTTCAATTATAATTGAATATTCATACTCAAAGTTTGGAAATCTCTCTTATTTCTTCTCTCCACTGGTTTTCAATGTGGACAATCAAAACATTGCAGCCAAAAGATTCCCACATTGTTTGTTTGCTTTTGTAGGTTTTTTTTTTGTTGGTTTTTTTTTTTTTTGTTTTTGTCATGTTGGTTTCAAATTGCCTCCAAAGGATGAGAAGAAAAACTGCTCAAAAAAGACAACTCCTTTTTCTGGTTATTGTTGTCAAAATCATTGCCAGGAACAAAAAAATGTACAAACAGCTCTAAGTGTATCTGTGGGACTGCCAGACTTCTTGCTGCAAGGAAGATGCTCAGGGAAGCGCTGCAGTCGTTGTTCCCAGGGGTGTTTAAGGATAGGATAGATGTGGTACTTGGGGACATGATTTACTGGGCAATATTGGTGGTGGGTGGATGGTTGGGCTGGATGATTTCAAAGGTCTTTTCCAACCTTAATGATTCTACGAGTCCCTGGGGAGTTTTCATGGCTCTGAGATATGGATTTCCTTTCTGCTTCTTTTATTAACTCAAAGTGAAGCTGAACACACATGCATTGCTGTGACCAGGGTAGTGGAAAACCTGAAAAAGTCATATTAAGTCTCACCTTTCCTGGTGAGATCACAGAATCATAGAATGGCTTGGGTTGGAAGGGACCTCAAGGATCATCAAGCTCCAAGCCCATAATGCTGTATCTGAACCTTGTCTTCAAAACCTCACCCATGCACCCACATTAACAACCACAGAGAGCTCCTCCTTTGCACTCAAAGGCTGTGGGCTTTCATCCCTTTGGGCTTCTTCATGCTCTTCCCCTGAGCCCCAACAATAAACTGCTGTGCTCCTTCACCACCATCATTCTGACTTTACCTGTACAGACATGTTACTGATTTCAAGAGAAATGACTTGCATGATGATTGCAGAGGAGGAGAGGGAATAGAAATATCTCATCAGTTTGGAGGATTGCTGCCTTCAGTGGTCATTCACCCCAGCTACTAATAAGAATAGACTCTGTCTACAGCCCCTCACATTCTTCTGCCAATTACTACACAATAATGAGATGTGACATATTTTAGCCAAAATGAAGGAGAGACTTTCATATAAGCTCTGTAACTCACTGTCACATTAGAGAAAGAAGCTCAGTGATGGACAGTGATTTGGATTTGGACTGCCAGGATGATAACGCTGAGTTGGCCTCTCATTGCAGTGATCTTGGAGGTATTTGGCAATTGGGATGGATTTTGCTTCTATCACTGCAGTTCTGCACAGATTTTGGCCCTGGGAAGTAGTTGGCCTGAAGGGCTGGAAGGCTTCTCCATCCCTTCTGTCATGCCTGAGCCATTGTTTAAGAGTTGGCAGCAGTTTCTGCTATTAAAACCCGCTGACATCTGTAGTGTCAGTGCTGTCACTCTGAGACCAGGGTGTGCCATTTCACTGCTAGACTGAGGGAATGATGCTGGTCAAACCACTCGACATGAGATGGAGCAGCAAAAGAGGCAGATTATTAATCAGTTTGTGAAGGTCCTTGGAGGAAATGGGGTTTTAAAGAATGGGAAGGGAAAGGGGAAAGGAGGGGGAGAAGAAAAGGGAAAGGGAGGGGGAGAGGAAAAGGGAAAAGGGAAAAGGGAAAAGGGAAAAGGGAAAAGGGAAAAGGGAAAAGGGAAAAGGGAAAAGGGAAAGGAAAACAAATAGGTTTTCTCATAAAAATTAAATCATGGACACCAGGGAGAATGCAGTTCATGTTCACTGTAGTTAAGGTGAGTTTGAAGTGCTTAGGAGGCTTCCACTTTAGGTAGACAGTTTGCAAACAAACAAATGTACAACCTGTGTTATTGTGTGCATGCAGAGATCTGCACCTTGAATTCATTTATATACACATACACACACAGAAACCTATCTAGATATGCCTGGGCATAAACGTGCCTGATTATTTCTGCACCGAGTTCCACAGAGGAGTTATTCTGCAGCTCAAAGGGTCAAAAACAAAGTGCAGAAAATGTAGGTAATTATTTGTCCTGACTGTAAGTCATATCATCCTTTGGAAATTGCTCACAAGGAACATTTACATCCTCCTTCCACGGACTCGGTGGGAAGAATGATCTCCACAAATTCCCATCACTTAATTCCCTCATCATTTAAGCTCTACCTCTGAAATCTGTTTTCCCTTACATGGGTCTTCTCAGTCTGCATCTGTACTAAGGCATCCCCTGATCCCAGTGATGGAGGGTGAACTGTGTGTGTCATTCTCCATTGACGTGAGCTCCCATTTCCATCTCGTCAAGCTGGCTTTCTCCATCCACATCCATGGCCTGCACTTGTTCTATTGCCAGTATACAGAGAAACAAGGTCAAAACCCACAAGGGAAGGAGTGACAAGGATGGGAGACTGGGGTATGCTAAAATCAAGAAAGGCAATTGATGTATAAATGGATGCTGGACTAGATGATGTACTGGCACAATCCAGTATCTATCTTCTTGTGTTTGGT